GATGCGGGACTCGATCCCGGGACTCCAGGATCATGACCCGAGCCGAAGGCAGTCGCTCAACCAACTGAGCCACCCAGGTGCCCCCGTTCCATAAATATTTCTTAAACACCAACTTTAACAGCCATTATGCTAACAGCTGGAAATACAATGATAAAATCAGATGTAGTTTCACTATATAACAGATCATTTATCTAGTGAAGGAGACCAAACACATTTTTGCAAAGAGATGAGGAATAAGAAGAAAAGACACACAAAAGCGTAATAAAAGAAACCTAATATTGATGAAGGAATCAAAAAGGACTTCTCTAAGGTAAGCTGAGGTAACAAAGACCAACAGAGTGAAGGAATTAAGAAAAGAACATTCTAGGAAGAGGCAATGGCCTATATACAGGCCCTGTTGCAAGAGGAAAACATAGGAAGTTAGAGAATCTGAAAGAAGATCCAAGTGACCAGGAACACAGAAAGCGAGGGATAAGAGTTGAGGGTAGAACAATAGGCATGGACCAAATGGTATAAATGGGAATTTTTAGTCTGCATTAAGTATGGAAAGGACTAAGGATTTTAAGGAGATGAATAATAAGATTCAAAGTTTGAAAAGCTCACCTGGCTACAATGCAGAGAAAGGACTGGTATCCATTTTCAGAGCTAGCTACAAATTTCCCAATAGTATGAGGACCAAAAAAATTCCAGAATTGCTACAGCATTTGCTCTGAGAGTTCCTACCAAGTCTCCGGAAATTAAAACACCTGAACAGCTACTGACAATAAAAATGCTTTTTATTTACAAAGTACCTGGAAAATAAGTAAGCTAGGTTACATTTTTATTAAGCTTCAAGTAAGTATAGCAACGCAAAAACTACATTAGTTTCTCAGGAAATAATTTTTTTAGGGATAAGTTCTAATACCTTGATCTCCCTCTAACATCTCCATTCCTCTCAAGTCTCTTATGAAGGTATAAACAAAAGGGGTTGTTTTGTTAACATAATTTATAACACCTCTTCTTTCTATCACTTCATTATTTCTAATGAGCTCAGTGGACCACAAGATTAAGAAGAAAAATAGAATTTTACACTCTTTGAAAAGTGCTCCAGAAAAGGAGGTAAATACTTCTGATAAATTTATTACCATGCAAGGAAGAAAAGCATAATTTCACCATAGTGGTGACAGAAAGGACTTATTGCCAATAAACAAAATGGAACTTAAAAATAAACTCCTATATCTCTTTCGCTGGATTTCAATTGATTTTTATTTTTTATTTAATGGACAATTAAAAAGCTTTTTCTGCTCTGTATATCAACTGTTATCTCTATAATTTTACAAATATACTTAGCTACAAATATGAATTAATGGTTGATATTCTATTATTAAGTGTTAAAATATTGTAAATATATACCTGTAAAAAAAAAAAAAAAGGAACTTAGCTCAACTACCTACCGCACCCACGAAGATTAAACAGAGTCAACCATTTGGTATGTATTTTCCTTCCAGATATATATTTATGTACATGCATGTTCATACATGTGTGTATATAGTTTAAATATAGTCATTTGTTCATCATACATAGTATCCTTCAACACGTTTTTTTCAGTTGCTAAAAATATGAAAGACCTATAGATCTCTTTTTAACAGCTGTCGTGTTATTGATCCAAAAACTTACTCATTTAATAAATTACCAGGACACATAGATTGTTTTCAATTTTCTATATTACAAAAAAAATGCAGCAATGAACATCTTTATACACAGGTATACATTTCTGTTGTTCCTTTCTATAGTATAAATTCTAAAAATTGGATTTGAACTTTTAAGGCCACAGACAGAAATATTATTGATAGCATATCTATATATAAATAAACTCTCAAAACCATAATCCATCATATAATTTTTTTTTAAAGATTTCATTTATTTATTTGACAGAGAGATAGAGAGCACAAGTAGGCAGAGAGGCAGGCAGAGGGAAAGGGAGAAGCAGGCTCCCCGCTGAGCAGGGAGCCTGCTGTGGGACTCGATCCCAGGACCCTGGGATCATGACCTGAGCCCAAGGCAGCTGCCTAACCGACTGAGCCACC